CTGCGGCCGCCGGCGGCTCAGGAGCTCTGTGGGGAGAGAAAAGGGGGTGAGAGAGGGGTGGGGGGACAGGGGGGACCCAAAGGCTGTGGGAGAGCAAGGGGGGGACACGACCCCCATTTGGGGACCCCCTTTACCTTCTCCCACAGGTAGAAGCTGAGCCCCAGTGCCAGGAAGACCAAGCCCAAGACGAAGCCCCCGACCCCCACCAGGATCTTGCTGCGGACGGTGTCCGGTGGCATCTCTGGGGGGAGCCGGGGGGGTCAGCACCCCCAAAACCTCCTCCCACGCCCCCCCCGGCACCCCACAGAGCCCGGCCCGCTCTCCCCCAGCCCACCCGGGGGTCCCTGAAACCTCCTGCCAGTCCCTTCCCAGCCCCTGCAGGGATCCCACCTGGCCCCTCCCGGCCCCTTGAGGACCCTCCCACTCTCCTCCCATCCCCAAACTCCCTCCCAGTCGCCCCCAGTCGCCCCCCCCGGTGCTGGGGGGGCCGGGCCGTACCCCAGTGCCGGCTGAGGGGGTGCTCCAGGCTGACGTGCTCCACCTGGCAGCTGTAGGTGACCCCGCGCCGGGGGGGGATTTCCAGCAGCACCAGCACCTGGTAGGTCCAGTCCCCTGTGGGGACCACGTCGGTGGCCACCACGTGCTCCGGCAGCTCCTGCCCATCCTGGAACCACCTCACCTGCACCGGCGCAGGGTAGAAATCCATCACGGAGCAGAGCAGGCGGCCGGGGCCGGGCTGGGAGCTCGACGGCACCAGCGAGATGGACACGCTGGGGGGCACTGGGAGGGACGGGGGAGACACTGGGCTCAGCTGGGGGGCACTGGGAGGGACGGGGGAGACACTGGGATCAGCTGGGGGGCACTGGGAGGGAGGGCAGAGGGCTTGGAGGACATTGGGAGGGCTTGTAGGACATAGGGACTGTGAGGGACTGGGATGGCAGTTGGGGGGGACTGGGAATAGACTGGGGTAGAAGGGGAGGGGCTGCGAGGGCACTGGGGAGAGAGTTGGGTGACCTGGGAGTGAAGTAAGAGGGTCTGGGAGTCGAATGAGATGGTCTGGGATGGACTAGGAATGACTGGTCTGGACTGGGAAGGAAGCGAGCGGGACTGGGAGGCTGAGTCGTGGTGAGGGACTCTTTGGTTTGGGTCTGCCTGGCAACTGGAGCGTCATCAGAGAGACGCGCTGGGATTGGCTGAGGGGCGTGAGCTCGGTGGCCGCAGAGGGGTGGAGACGCGGGGGGGCACTGGGAGAGACTGGGATGGACTGGGAAAGACTGGAGGGCACTGGGAGGGGGCAAAAGGCCAAGCGGAGGGGCACAGGCAGGGCTGAGGGGTCTGGGGTGATTCCCGGGGTGATTTAATGGGCTCCAGGGTCATTCCCGGGGCAGGGACCGAGGGGACCCGCTCTGCCCCACGCTCACCTCTGCGGTTCACCAGGAACGGGGTG